TGCACTTACACACATGCAGGAATAACACTCATACACATAAAATAAAAATAATAAATAAATAATAAGTAGGTAAATAAACAAGTTATTCCCATTAACTATGAAAAGGAGCACTGAACCAGCTGCAGGTGCTCTGTCAGCCACATACCTACACAGGAACCTACACGTACCTACTCAGTGAAGGTCCTGAGGGGCACAAGTCCCAGAACCCATGGAGGAAAACAGACCATAGTGAAGTCTTGGGTCTGCCAGAGGAAAAGCTTCCCACAAGGAATTCTTCAAAAGTCTAGCAATCCCTTAAAGAAGAAAAGGAATCTGTTCCAGAAATCAGGAGTGAGAGGAGCACAGGCCCAGGTCTCTTGGGAGGGCAAACCATCAAAGCTGGTGGCATTGGGGTGGGGGCCAGGACAAAACTAGGTGTGGTGGCACAGGTCTGTAATCCCAGCATTGAGGAGCCTGAGGCAGGAGGGTGGGGAGTTCAAGGCCAGCCTGGTCTTCATACTAAGACCCAACTCAGAAGAACCAAAGAAGGAAAAAGAAAAGAAAACAGAAAAAGAAGAAATTAATAGAATTCCACATTTTATCAGACCACAAAGGAGACCATGGAATCCACTCAACCCATGCATAAAAGCTTTTAACAGACCCATCTCATAATGATGAAAGCTCTCAGCTGTAGAAGAGAGTGTCTGCAGCAGATGTGGTTGGTCTAGACCAGTCCTCACACAGTCCACATGGGGATGCCATGATTTTTACCTGGAACATCTCCAGGGCCGGTGTTGAAGGCCTGGTCCAGTGCTGATGGAGGTGGTGGACCTGTTAGGAGGTGGGTCCAGGAGGGAAGAAGTTAGGTGATTGGGGGCATGCTCTTGAAGGGGTATTGGGACTTTGGATTCTCTCTCTCTCTCTCTCTCTCTCTCCCTCTGCTGGCTGTCGTGAGGCTCCTTCATGTGTTTCCACCATGATGTGTACCTCACCACAGGCACAAAGTAGGGCCAGCCCACTATGGTCTGAAATCTCCAGAACCATGAGCCAAAATAAACCTTTCCTCTTTCTAACCAGATTATCTCAGGAATTTCATCACAGTAATGGAAAACTGACTTACACAGGGAGGACCAAATGACCCACCCCTGTGTCCTGTGGAAGATCAGGGGAAGCACTGTCCAACAGTCGGGCATGCCAAACCTTGGCCTTGGTTTCTAAACACCTTGTCTACCAGGAGACAGCATCCCTGCAGGGGAGCAGCTGAGCTGGGCGAGAAACAGAGGGCGAAGGAGCCTGGGCCAGAGGGAGAACAGTCAGAAGTAGAGCGGGTTGGAGGGATGGTCAGGAGTGGAGGGGGTTGGAAGAGTCCCAGAGTGGCCAGAGCCAGGAAACTGGGACAAAATGAAGAAGGAACCAGTGGAGAGATGGAGGGGACAGGCAGGCCTCCTCTTGGACACAGCCCAGCAGACAGCGGACAGTGGACAGGCAGACAGTGACAGGCATAGCCTACAGAGACTCAGTGAGTGGCGGTATAGAAATGACAGGCTGGTGATAACACAGAAACTGACTGTAGTTTCAAAGAAACACCCAACGTGTTTAGCGACAACAGAGAACTAACAGCTTTGCCATAAGCCCATCTGCGTGTTCCCCACAGGCCACACTCTGCAGTGGGACATGGCTCCAAATGAGCCCCAGTGTGACTGGAAGGAAATGTGGGGGGGCGGGGGGCTCTAGAGGTCAAGTCCACTCTTCAAGAGCCAAGATCATAAAAATGGGCAGAAGACTAGGAGGCCTTCCCCAAGTAGTGTGGGTGCTGGTGCTTACTGCTGGGTACCAGTGAAGCCAGTCCTGGGGGACCAGTAGTGGGCCAGTGCCCTGATCTGCTCCCCAGCAAGGTTTCCGGATGGTCTGAAATGCATACCCCAGGAGATGCTGGGTCCTGAAGCCGAAGGATATGCTCATGTAACTAAGTAAAAGTCTTTGCAGATGACCAGGGTAGGAAGCCACCAAGGTGGGCTAAACCCAGCTCATTGATGTACTTAAAAAGGGGGTGATTTGGATGAACCCATAGTGAGACAGCTTGTGATAGAGGCAGAAGTCAAGGACAAGCCAGGGAGCCAACACCACCAGTGCCCTAGGAGTCAGGGTCTGGGCAGAGTCCTCTCATCTTGAAGAGACTAGAATATACTCCTGAGTTAGACTTGGACCTCCAGAGCACGGTGATGACTTCCTGGTTAGACACGTAGTTTGTGGTACTTGGTCACCCACTGAGGAAATCTACACAGGCTTCTCTACCCAGAAATCCCATGGGCCTTTGCTAACCCCCACTATATAAGTGCAGAGTCCTGCCCCAGCCCAGGAGCCCCAAGACCAGCAGTGATTTGTGGGTCACATGTCCTCCAGTCACCAGCAGCATCCCAGACCCATCAGTACTTCCCCAAACAACTGGGAAGAAAACCACAGGACTCATGCTCAGCCCAACTGGTTGTTATAAGACTAAACACAAGGAGTAGTGCCAGTCAGCAACCACGCAGGAAACAAAAACAGGCTCAGGGTGGCAAGAACCTGGCCACACCAATGAGGAAGCAGAAGTCACAGGCTAGGCAGGGAAGGGTCAGCCAGGAGCAATATAAAGCCAGCAGACCTCACCTCCGACACATACACACTCACTCACTCAACACTCACTAACCCTCCTCCAGCCCAACCCACCACGATGGCCTCCACCATGTCTGTCTGTTCTGACACCCGCACTGAATCCTGGCAGGTGGACGACTGCCCAGAGAGCTATTGCGAGCCCTGCTGTGCCCCAAGCTGCTGCACCCCAGCCCCCTGCCTGACCCTCGTTTGCACCCCAGTGAGCTGTGTGTCCAGCCCCTGTTGCCAGTCCACCTGCCCCAGCTCCTGCACACCATGCTGTCAACAGTCCAGCTGCCAGCCAGCTGGCTGTAGCTCCTCCCCCTGCGGCAGCTCCTCCCCCTGCTGTGTGACCCTCTGCTGCAAGCCGGTGTGCTGCAAGCCCGTCTGCTGCAAGCTCGTCTGCTGTGGGTCTTCCTCATCCTGCGGCCAACAGTCCAGCTGCCAGACCTCGGGCTGCAGCTCCTCCCCCTGCGGCAGCTCCTCCCCCTGCTGTGTGACCCTCTGCTGCAAGCCCGTCTGCTGCACACCAGTCTGCTGTAAACCTGTCTGCTGTGCTCCCGTCTGCTCTGGATCCCCCTGCGGCCAGCAGTCTAGCTGCCAGCCCTCAAGCTCCCAGTCGTCCTGCTGTGTGCCCCTCTGCTGCAAGCCCGTCTGCTGCAAGCCCGTCTGCTGCACACCCATCTGCTGTGGGTCTTCCTCATCCTGCTGCCAGCAGTCCAGCTGCCAGCCCTCGGGCTGCAGCTCCTCCCCCTGCGACAGCTCCTCCCCCTGCTGTGTGACCCTCTGCTGCAAGCCCATCTGCTGCAAGCCTGTCTGCTGCACACCAGTCTGCTGTGAACCTGTCTGCTGTGAGCCCCTCTGCTCTGGATCTCCCTGTGGCCAGCAGTCTAGCTGCCAGCCCTCAAGCTCCCAGTCGTCCTGCTGTGTGCCCCTCTGCTGCAAGCCCGTCTGCTGCAGACCCTGCTCCAGCGTGTCCCTGCTCTGCCGCCCCGTGTGCAGACCTGCCTGCTGCGTGCCCGCCTCCTCCTGCTGTGCCTCCTCCTGCCAGCCCAGCTGCTGCCGCGGTTCCTCCTCTGTGTCCCTGCTCTGCCGCCCAGCCTGCTCCAGCCAGGCCTGCTGAGGTCTCTCCTCCGGGACAGAAGTCCAGCTACTGATGGGCCTGTGCCCCAGAAATAGAAACCGAGGTCCCCCCAACCTGGCCCCTCTCAGCTCCTCAGTCTGCTCATGACCTGAGACAGACTGTGCCCCAGGACAGGGCCCACATGTGTCCCCTGTGCTGACCTCGCCTCTCCCTCCTGCCTCTAAGGAGCCCCATCTGCAACCTGGGTCCCTGGGACAGAAGTCCAGCTACTGATGGGCCTGTGCCCCAGAAATAGAAACCGAGGTCCCCCCAACCTGGCCCCTCTCAGCTCCTCAGTCTGCTCATGACCTGAGACAGACTGTGCCCCAGGACAGGGCCCACATGTGTCCCCTGTGCTGACCTCGCCTCTCCCTCCTGCCTCTAAGGAGCCCCATCTGCAACCTGGGTCCCTGCCCCTCCTCCCTGCCCCTCTGCTCTGTCACTTGTTCCCAATATCAGCTCCTCCAGAGCTCACAGCACCAATAAACTCTTTAAATACCTGGATCTCCTCTCATGCTCTAAACATGTGTTTTAAGTGGACATCAGTTTCTACTAGTCTTGAATGTTTCTAGAAGGGAGGGCCTTAGCCCAGCAATTGGCATGGGACAGTAGCTGCCTCTTTTGGGGGCCACAGAGGGGCCCAGGGCCCCTCTTCCAAAGGTCCATCTTCCCTGACTGCACTGTTGGCTGGTCACCTCCAAATGTCTCAGGAGATTCAGGAGGCCACCACAACCAGCAGCTCCTCCAGATTCCTCTAGGTACCCAAGGGAAGCCACACACAGCTCTGCATGGTGGCCCCAAGGCCTGGGTCCTGCCCACTGGACAGTCCTCCACAGGATGGGGCAACAGACAAGGGTCACAACAGATGACAGTCACCAAGAAAAGAAAGCAATACGGTGCAGAAGGGGGACACACAGACCCTGGGAACACACTGCCCAGTGCCCTCTCCTGAGAAATGGGACACAGTCCCCTCACTGCGGGCTGGATCAGGTCTCCAAAGACAAGGGTGGACACCAGACCCTCTGATGTGATGTGGGGACAGCATGGCAGGGCCTGGGGCCTTGTTGATGGGCCATGGCCGAGGCCAGGGGTACTGTGATCAGTGGACTACTGTCCGCAATGCAGCAAGGTGCCAGTTTTCATGTCCCTTTCCTACCCTTCCCATAGGCCCTTCTCAGCCTATGTCTATCCGCACCCAGAATCCTCTAGGGCCAGCTGCCTATCAAGCCTCAGCCTTTCTCTTGCCCAGCTCAGTACTGCCCAGGTGCCCCAAACATCCTCCTCTGAGGCTCTTAGGACATGAGTTCTTCCTGGCTACTCATGCAACCTCGTCTCTGTCATGTGTGAGCAAGTGTCTGCTTCCTTTCCCTCTTCATACTGTACATACACACACAGACACCCACATACACACACAGACACACACAGACACACACACAGACACACACATACACAGACACACACACACAGACACACACATACACACACAGACACACAGACACACAGACACACACACAGAGACACACACATACACACACAGACACAGACAGACAGACAGACACACACACACACACACACACA